CCACATCAGGAACATTTAAACTGATGTGACTTCAGCTCTGAATCTGAAACTCTTCACTTCGCTGTCTTTCAAACCTCAGTTCAGTGTTTCCTCTCGTGGCTGCTTTCGTTGTGCCTCAGTCACTGACTCAGCTCCATGAAAGGATATTGATGTGCTGCTCTCCTGCTCGTGGCTGTTTCCTGCGACTCCGTTTGACCTCCTCTCGGCACAGCCACACTTTATCAGCCGTTTTTGTGCACAGAAATGGCCGTCATAATGATTTGAATGCTTTGTTCATGCCTTGTGTAACTTGAGGTGGCATTACAATTTCCAGTAAGACTGCAGTTATTAAAATATAGTACAGCAGATTTCATTAAAGCTTCTCTGGCCCTGAATGTCGCCTGCTGCACTAATCATTTTTCTGCCACAGCCTGCAGAGCTTTGGCAATGGCTCTGCTTTAAAGTCTCCAAGCTGGCCAAAATGCTTTTATTCTAACTGGCTAATCAAACAGTTTGATCCATCATGTGAAACCGGAGTGAGAGTCTGTGTTTATTTCTTTAAAAAACCTTTAAAAGTGTGACTCAAATCAGGCTTCAGATCTCTTCTTTGTGTAAGAACACTCTGCAGGGCTTCAGCTGAGTTATCAGTGAGGCTGACTTTGTTTGCTCTCCTGCTCTTCTGTCACCTGTAGCTTTGTGCTGAGGAAGCAGCTCAAAGGGCCACTCAGGGTGTCCAAGTGCTACTTGCTAACAAGGACATGATTCAAGAAAAACTGTGAGACTTTGACACCAACACTCCGGTTTAGGCCTGAAATGTCTGGCTGTTGCAAACAATCTTGGCTTATAGGAACTGACTGTAGCTGCAGCAGCAAACTGTTTCTGTAGCTCTGCTGTCGTGGCCTCTGTTCATACAAACACAGGAAGGAATGCATATTTATAGCTGCTGTATTTTGCACAGAGACGATCATTAACATGGCGTCGACGGTGCAGCGAGCAGACAGCGTTTAGCAGCTTCGCTACAAACCTGAAGACCCACAACTCTATCAGCACCACGAGCTGAAGCAATCTAAGAGTATCTGACCCAAGGTTTACAAGCATAGTAATTAATTTCTGGTGATTTGATTGGACACAACTATGCTTAGGAATAAGTGCCCTGTGAACACAATATGCACACACAGCTGAGGATGATGGGAAAGTCATTCGTTTTGCAGGTATTTCGTCATAAGCCGAAGCACTCGATAGATTAAAATTGTGACCCGATGAAGTGATTATAATTCACCTTCACAGGAACATAAATGTCTGTAGAACATTTCACAGCAGTCCACTCACTATTTAATTTGACCCAAGGTGATGTACAGACAGACGGATGCTGCCAGTGAGGATGAAACTGAATGAAACAGCTGAAGAAGGAGCATCCATAGAAAATGTGATCGTTTGTTACCAAATATCTGGTCTCAGTGCTCGGCTTTATTCTGCCTTGTTTGACCGGCTCTCGCCTCTTTCTGTGATATTATTTATCTTCTGAACACAATGTCAAATATCATTTCTGCAGCAATCTTAGTTCTTAGATTATTTCCATCTGCAGTAATGTATATGTGGCCAAATGGCTCGAGGCAGATCTCAGCACAGAAGCATCATGACAGCAGACGTGACGTTTATTAAGTGACACGCAGCACCTTACACGAGGTCTGAGCATTGGATGGACAGAATCAGCTTAGCCATCAGACACCAGTTTCTGCTCTTCTGCCCACTTTATTCTGGCTTCTCTCTGGTTCAGTCAGGCTCGAGCACAGTGTGCCTACATGCCCGTCACACGTGTCCACACAGCGTCACAAATGAACAGAAGCCTTAAGGTTAGGTGCCGAGACATACTGCCCAGACCTCTGCAGACAGCATTTGTTGAAGTGCAGTGTCCAAGCCACCGTCTGCTGACAAATGAGCTTTATTAGCTTTTTCCAAATACGTCAGCGTTCATAACCACGGGTAAGAAAAAGGCCTCAGGACAGTCAGGAGACTGACAGGTTCCACACTGGCAAGTGGAGTTACTGTCAGGATGTGGGGATGTTTCCAAGGTATTCATTTAAATTAATGAGTGTGTGTGTGTGTGTGTG